ATCCCAGGGGGTGACGATGTCCCTTGTCCCCCCCTCCCTGTGTGTGGCAGCTGGCGGTGGGCGGTGACACCGACACGCTGCTGGTGACAGACCTGCGGCCCAGCACCGAGTACGTCCTCACCCTCAGGGCCACCCACGGGGACGCCCTCGGACAACCCGCGGCTGCCACCGGCAAAACCAGTGAGTGGCTCCTCCTCCTCCCCCTCCCCGGGACGGGCACGGGAGAAAATCCCACCCCAAAGCCGGGAGGGGAAGGGGGGTGGGAATGGCTGCAGGTTCCAGGGGGTGGGAGCAAAAACCACCCCCTGCGCTTGAAGGGCGCGGCTCATCATCCCAACGGGGAAACAGCAGGATTGGAGGAGTCCAGGATGGGGTTTCAGGTGGTGGGACACCTGGGAGGAGAAAGCTCCTGGAGGTCAAAGGTTGGGAATGTTTTGGAGATCACGAACTGGGAAAACTTCTGGAGATCGTGGGTTGGGAATGTTTTGGAGGCCACAGGTTGGGAAAGCTCCTGGAGATTATGGGTTGGGAAAGCTCCTGGAGATTGTGGGTTGGGAATGTTTTGGACACCATGAATTGGGAAAGCTCCTGGAGGCTGTGGGTTGGGAAAGCTCTTGGAGGCCATGGGTTGGGAATGTTTTGGACACCATGAGTTGGGAAATCTCCTGGAGATCGTAGGTTGGGAAATCTCCTGGAGATCGTGGGTTGGGAAAGCTCCTGGAGATCGTGGGTTGGGAAAGCTCCTGGAGATCGTGGGTTGGGAAAGCTCCTGGAGATTGTGGGTTGGGAAAGCTCCTGGAGATTGTGGGTTGGGAAAAAGGGGAAGGGGGAAAAGGAAAGGGAAGGGGGAAAAGGGAAAGAGGAAAAGGGAGAAGGGAAGGGGAAGGGAAGGGAAGGGAAAGAGGGAAGATTTCAGAAGGGAAAAGGGGAAGGAAAGATTTGGGAAGGGAAAGGGAAGGGGAAAGGGGAAGGAAGGGAAGGGAAGGTTTGAGAAGGGAAAGGAAAGAAGGAAATTTCAGGAAAGGAAAGAAGGACATTTTGGGACAGGAATCTTAAAAACCACCTTTAAGGGATCCCTTGAAAATCCCTGGAAGGTGGGAGGGGGGATTGTTGCTTTCCAGGACCCAGCTCGAAAGGCAGAGCTGCTGCTGCTCCCTCTCCTTGCCCTTCTATCCCTGGAGCCAGAGGGTTTTTCCAAGGATCCAAGGGCATTCCATGTCCCCTCCCTCTTTGTGCCCCCCTCAGCTCCCATCCCTCCCGTCACCAACTTCCGGGTGGTGGAAGAAGGACCCTTCAGCCTGAAGGTGGCCTGGACCCCTCCCCCAGGCAAACTGGAGGGCTACAAGATCTACATCCCCAGGGGTGAGTCCTCCCTGGGGGGCATTCCAGGGACTTCCCTTGGGAAGGACAAAGGGAGCCAAGGGCTGGGAAGGTGCTCCTGGCACGACTCTGGAAGCATCCAGGGTGTCCAGAGTGTGGGGTTCCTCCAGGAGAGAGGAGAAGAGTCCTTTGAAGGACTTTGTTTTGGAGAACAAGGAGATGTTTTTCTTGGAGAAGATGGGGATGATGCTGTGGATTCCTTGTCACATTCACAGGGTTTTTGTGCTTCCTCCCAGCTCAGGTGGGGCTGAGAGTGAGTCCAAGCCTTTGGGGTGCCCCACACTCCCCTCTGAGTTGTCCTTGAGGTGTGGATGTTTCCGTGGCACCTGCAGGGCTGGGACACCACAGATCTGTCCAGCTTGAGCTGTGGCCCCAACTCCCAGCCCCACCAGCGTGCTGGGGGACTCCACGTGGCAGAGGCATCACCGTGGGCTTCGGGAAAGCTCCCCCCTCCCCCCTGTCCTTGCCTTTGCAGCCTCCAGGCCGGGCGTGGCCCACGAGCAGGTCCTGCGGGGCGACGTCTCCTCCCACGTGCTGGCCAACCTGCAGGAGGATCGGCAGTACAACGTCATCCTCTACGCCGTGCACCCCCAGGGGCCCAGCCAGCCCGTGGCTGCCCTGGGGAGGACGTGTAAGGCTGGGACCCCCCCGGGGTGGGGAGTGGTTGATGGCTGATGGTCCCTCCCTGCCCCCCCCCGGGGCTGTGGGTGCTGTCCAGAAGTTTCTCATGGTGCCCTCACGCTCCCCGTCACGGGTGGGAGGGGGAGGCTCGGGCTGAGTGGTCACAAAGCCAAGCCTTGGGGCAGCTCCACCCGGTCTGTCAGCCTGGGGTTCTGATAAACTGAAGGAATTTCAGGGGTGTAAATTGAAGGAGTCGTCGAGGTGCGATGGAGCCGCTTTTGGCACCCCCCGGATCAGCAAAATGAGAACGTTGGTTTGGGTGAAATGAAGCAAAGAGCTCAATCAGGGCTGTTTATTACCCAGTATAAAAGCTAAAATAAAATCTGCTATAACGGAGGGTGAAACGGTAACAAAGCAATTAACGGTAAAGGTGGTGAAAAAGAAATCACCGTTAAGTAGAGCTGGGATGGGACTGACCCAGAGCAGCTCTCAGGGGACATCTCTGCTCTCAGCCTCCAGGGGTGACCTCACAGGGAGTCCCCAGCCATGGGAGGAATGTGCCCAGCTCTGGGCCCTCAGCTCAGAGCTCATGGAGGGGCTGGAGCAGGGGCAGGGAAGAGCAGCGAGGCTGGGGAAGGGACTGGAGCACAAGGGCTGTGAGGAGAGGCTGGGGGAGCTGGGGGGGCTCAGCCTGGACAGGAGGAGGCTCAGGGGAGACTCAGCACTCTCTGCAGCTCCTGCCAGGAGGGGGGAGCCGGGGGGGGGGGTTGGTCTCTTCTCCCAGGCAACCCTCAGTGAGACAAGAGGGCTCGGTCTCAAGCTCTGCCCGGGGAGGTTTAGGTTGGACATTGGGAAGAAATTCCTTACAGAGAGGGTAATGAGCCCTTGGAATGGGCTGCCCAGGGAGGGGGTGGATTCTCCATCCCTGGAGATGTTTAAGGACAGGCTGGATGTGGCATCAGTGCCATGATCTGGTGATCCCAGCAGGGTTGGATCGAGGCTTGGACTGGATGATCTCGGAGGTCTCTTCCAACCCCGTTAATTTTATGATTCTATGAATTCCAAGAGGATGAGCCACAAAAATGGCCTCTCAGGGTGTGGGGGGGTGGGAGTTACTGGTGATGGAACACAGGGAAAATCCCAGTGTTTCCCAGGAAGAGGAAGAAAGGAGCAGGGGGTGTTTTCTGGTGGGAGCTGAGAGGGAATAAGGCCGGGCTGGATGAGGTTGGAGCAGCCAAGTGGAACATTCCCTGGTTGGAATGGGATGATCCTTGAGGTCCTTTCCCACCCAAACCACGCTGGGATTCCGTGAATTAGGAATAATCAGCCATTATATTGCTCTGGAGGTGTTGAAGGACAGGCTGGATGTGGCATCAGTGCCATGGGCTGGGTTGGAGCCATGGGTGGGGTTGGAGCAGGGCTTGGACTGGATGATCTCAGAGGGCTTTTCCCAACCCAGTCGATTCCACCCCTGCCCTGGGCAGCCCCTTCCAACACCTGACCCCCCTTTCCATGGGCAGATTTTCCCAAACACCCAATCTATCCAAACTTGGGGTGGTTCCTCCTTTTCTCCCGTCCCTTGTTCCCTGGGAGAGGAGCCCCAATCCCACCCGGCTCCTCTTCCTGGGTGTTCCCCTTGGACAGCTGAGCTGCTTCTGGTTCTCCCCCCAGGCCTAAATCCCCCCCCGACCAGTGGTTTTCCTTCCAGTGAAGGTGCTGGCCGTGGAAAAGCTGGTGCTGCAGAACGAAACCACGGACACGCTGCGGGCCACGTGGAGCGCCGTGCGGGGAGCCACGGGATACCGGCTCACCTGGACATCTGCAGGTGGCACACAGGGATGGGGGGTGGGCAACAGGGAGATGGGAGGTTCCCAAGGCGTTGGAAGCACCAACACCTTCATGGAATGAGGAAATTGGGGGTTTTTTTGGGGGGGCAGGATCAACTGGCGGCTTCCACGGGAGTTCTGCCGCAGCCTTTCGGGGTGGGAAACAGGCCTGGATGGGAAAATTCCCGCTCACAATGCGAGGGGATGGATCCCCAGCCTCATTCCATGGGATTAGGGTGGGATTTCCTGGAGCTGAGCGGCCTTGGGAAGGGTTAAAGCTGGGAAAATGCTTCCCTGAAGAGCTTCAGTCACACCGAGTTTTGGAGTCACCCCCTTTTTTGGGGGGAGACAGTCTGGAAGTGCCTGTGATTATTTCTATTCTTTCTGTGGCACCAAGACTTTCTTTAATCCCCAGAATCCTCATTTTTAGGGGAGATTCAGGTGTTTGGAGCCAGATCTGAGTTGGCAGCTGGAGCTTCTCCCCTGCCCTGAACCCAAAGGTGTTTTCAGGGTTGTTTTTTGGGGAGGGGAAGGGGGGCAGGAATCAGAAATTCAGATTTGATGAAGTTTTTGGGCCCTGGGAGGTGGATGTTTCTGGGGCTCAGGGCTGAGATGGGATGTCAGGGACACCTGGGCTCCATCCCAGCCTTGGAATAACCAGCACATTCCACCCCCTGCTTGTGATACAAGGAAACAATTCCCACAGGGAACGGGGAGTTTGGGTGGGAGAACAACTCCAAAAACATCACCAGGAGGCAAAAAAACCTTTATGGGGAAGGCATAAAACTGCTTTTATTGCTTTGCAATCAACTTCCCTCTGGGGGAAAAAACCCAGTCCTGGCACTCTCCCAAAATCCAGGAGTTTTCCCAGCCCATGTTTAACATCTCCTCTCAAAAATCCAGGAGTTTTCCCAGCCTGTGTTTAACATCTCACCCCAAAATCCTCTTCCCATCTTTGGGGTCTTTTGGGATCCAGGCACCTTCTGCCCCGTCCCAAAACACCCGAGGGCTTGAATTTCATTTCTTGGAGCGTTTGTATTTATTTAATTCTTAAAATCAGTCTTAAAAAAATCCGAGTCGTGAGGGGGGAGCAGCTCAAGCAGGAGGTGGGAGAAGGGAGATGGAACTCGAGGTGCTGCTGGAGCACCAGACGGGCACGTGGCACCCTCCAGTGACCAGATGGGAAAAGGCACCTTCCCTTCCCCTTCCCAAAAAAAAAAATATCCTGATTGTTGCTGCCGGCACCTCCCAGCCCCTCCCAACAAACAGGGATTAAGATTGAACTCTTCTCCTGCCCTGCTGGGCAGGTTTAGCTGAGCTGGGTTTAGTCCCCCACCCATCCCAGGGGATCACTCCCTGATCCAGGGGATGCATCCAGGCTTGGAATTCACGATCACCATCAACCCCACCTTTGGGAATATCCAGGGATTGGTGCTGTGGGAAGCCCCATTTGTGGGTTTTCCCTGATTTATTCCCTCTATCCTGCAAATCCCTGATTGCCTTGAGCCATTGGTGCCCACTGAAGATTCCCTGGGTCATTCCTGCCTTCCCTTCCCACAGGTGGTTCTCCTTGGTGTGATCCCAGCAGGGTGATCCTCCTTGATCCATCCCAAGGGAATCCAACACCCTTTCCTTTTCCCAGAGGGCACCATCCAGGACGTGACCCTGAGCAGCAGCTACAGCCACTACCTGATCCAGGGGCTGCATCCCGGCGTGGAATACACGGTCACCATCAACCCCATCTTCGGGAATGTCGAGGGGCCCGTGCTGAGCGGGAAAGCCACGACAGGTGAGTGTCCTGTGGGAGAGATGGGATTGGGATCCACCCTCATGGGATGGGGATCCACCCTCAAAGTGTCCTGCAGGAGGGCTGGGATTGGGGATCCACCCTCATGGGATTGGGATCCACCCTCATGGGATTGGGATCCACCCTCACAGTGTCCCACAGGAGGGCTGGGATTTGGGATCCACCCTCACAGTTTTCCTTCAGGAGGGCTGGGATTGGGATCCACCCTCACAGTGTCCTGGGATGGGGATCCACCCTCACAGTGTCCTGGGAATAATAATGAAGGTGAGGCAGAGAGAAAGAGGTAGAAAAGAGGCCCAGGGAGAGAGCAAGAGAAAGAGATATCAGGCAGAAGATCATCACCATCTGTGGATCCAGCGGTGCACCATCAGTCCTTCTCCACCTTGGGCTTCTCTGTGGTGGGGGTTGTTCCCTAAAATGGGAGAAATAATCCTCTGGGCAGTTTGGAGCATGGAAAGGTTTATTGCACCCCATGGATCCAGCCTGGCCAGGTCCCTCTGCAGAGCCCTCCTGCCTTCCAGCACATCCACACTGCCCCCAGCTTGGGGTCACCTGCAGATCTGCTGATGGTGGAACCATCCCCTCATCCAGACCAGCAGTAAAGATTAAACAGGACTGGGCCCAGCCCTGATCCCTGGGGACACCACTGGTGACCGGATCCCAGCTGGATGCAGCTCCATTCCCCATCAACCAGTTCCTAACCCAGCACAGAGTGCCCTATCCAAGCCTTTTCCAGGAGTGTCCCATAGGAGACATCCAAGCCTTAATACAGATTTTAGGGAATCCGGGGCCCTGAGGTCCCAGACTTCCCATTGTTTATCCACACCTTGGCAAACAAAGGAATTGATGCTCCTTGCCCACACATTCCTCTGATTTTATGGGATAATTAACCCCCTGCTCAGTGTTCCTTCTCTTTTGAGCCGGTGGTCCCTGGGGTGGGTGGGTTATGGGTGGGTGGGTTGTGGATGGGTGGGTTGTGGGTGGGTCACCATCTCTCCCTGCCACAATTCCCTTTTCCCTGGTCAGAGCTGATTCCAGCTATTTCTGGCTTGGCTTTCCATGCATCCCCTTAATCCTGCATCCCTCTGCCCCTTCTCAGAGATCCCCCCTTCTCCCCCAGCTTTGTCCAACCCCCCCCAGGCCTGAGACCACCCCTGGATGATGATCCCACCTTAATCCAGAGCACTGGTTGAACTTGTAGTCTGAGCTCTCCCAGAGGCACAGTTGGGGTGCTGGGCCCAGAACTTTGGAAGGAGGAATTTTTGGGAGGGGAATTTTTGGGAGGCCTTTCCCAGGATGTGGGACCAGATCTCAGCAGGCTTGGAGCATCCTGGGCTGCTCCATCCCATCCCATCCCATCCCATCCCATCCCATCCCATCCCATCCCATCCCATCCCATCCCATCCCATCCCATCCCATCCCAATCCCACGGCAAAGTCCTTCTGTGTCCCAGCAGTGCTCGGGGCTGGGGGTTGTCCTCTGGAAGTCATTCCAGAAGCCAGGCTGGGTGGGTAGTTTTGGGAGCTGGTGGGACCTTGATGCAAGTGGGCAACTCTTGTCTCCTGCAGTGGCCTCGAGCACTGTGCAGGTGCTGAAAGTGAGTGAGGTTTCCATCAACAGCCTCCTGGTCTCCTGGGATCCAGTTGCCGGAGCCACCGGTTACAGAGTGGCTTGGGGTCCTACACCAGGTAAGATCCATCTCCTCTCCAGCCTGAAGCACCTCCAGCTCTTCCTGGAGCGCTGGAGAACTTCAGGGATGGCCCAGCTCCTTCACTGCTCTCAGCAGCCTCTCCCACAGCTTCAGGGCATGGAGCGAAGCCGGGAATTATTCCACAATTCCAGCAGGGAGACTCCCTGTGGTGACCACCACACTTCAACCCACCCCACCCATCCCAGTTCTTTGGAAAGAACCTTCTTCTGTTCCCTCTTCCTAGGAGTTCTTTTGCAAAGACCCTTCTCTTATTCCCTCTTCCCGTGATTTCTTTGGCAAAGACCATCCTGTTCCCTCTTCCCACGATTTCTTTTGCAAAGAACCACCCCCCCATCACCCTTTTCCCTGTTCCCCAGAGTTCCTCGGCAAGGCCCGTCCCCGCCACGTGTCCCTGGGCCGGCGGGTGACGTGGCAGCGTCTCCGTGCGCTGGCGCCCGGCAGCGATTACGTCATCTCCGTGTCCGTGCTCTTCGGAGCCGCCGAGGGCCCCGCCGTCACCACCTCGGCCAGGACCGGTGAGTGGCTCGGGACCTTCAGCAGCAGCACCACCAGGAGGGGCTCAGAGGGAAGTTCAGGAGATCTTTCCGAGTCCCGAGGACTCGACGTGGGATCGCCTGGATCAAAGATGGGAATTCCTCGTGTGAAAAACAGGGCCAGGTGGTGGAACAGGGTTGAGGGACAAACTTTCCATCTCCAACCTCAGCAGCGCTGAGTGGGATGACCCAGAAGTTGAGGGGAGGTCGGAACGGCGTCAGGGGATTCCTTGAAGGGGTTTAAAAGTGGGAGCGAGTCACTGGCAACCCCGGAATGCAGCGTGGAGACGACGGGCTGACCCTGGGGAAGAAGGGAACAGGCCACCACTGGTGGGTGGGAGCTGTGGGAGCTCTGGGTGGGTGTTTGGGCGTGGGGGGCACTGGGATATGGATCTGCTGACTCCCTGGATCCCTGTCCTGGGCTCGCAGAGGTGGATCCGGAGCAGAACATGCTTGCAGGTGGGATTTACACGCACGGCCCCGACCTCAGGTTGGTGTCTCTCCAAGAGAGGAGGAGGAGGACACACCAGGGATAAGCAAATCGAACCTTTTGGGATAATTCTGGCCTCATTCCAGTGCCAATGAGGAGCCCTGTTGGATGGGAATTCGGGCACTGACCTTGTCCTCCCCTCGCAGCTCCCCTCGGCTCCGTCCCCGATTTCAGGGTGACGTCACACACCAGCACCAGCCTGTCCTTGGCCTGGAGTGCCACCACAGCTGCCACCAAATTCCGACTCACCTGGAGCCCCCTGGGAGCAGGAAAAGGTGAGCAGAGAAAGGGTGACCCCCCTTCCCAAACTCCTGAGCTCCCACTGTGGAGAATCTTGGGTGGCGGTGGTGGCTCCTCCTCTCCTTGTGTTCCCTTCATTTATAAAACATTCCAAAACTCTGGAATGACAGCACAGCAAGGAACGCCTCTTTCCTGGGGAGGGGATGCCAGCAGGGAGCTCCAGGCTCTGGAATATCCCTCTTTTTTTTGGTTTATTTTTTACCAGGAAAGCAGATTGCCAAGAGCCAGCTCCTGGGCAGCAGAACGTTGGCCCATCGGATCGACCGCTTGGAACCCGACACGCCCTACAGGCTCGGAATTCGGGCTGTTTTTGGCCGGACTGAGGGGCCAGAGGTGACCCTGACTCACCACACAGGTGTGTCCTGCCAGGACAACCCTCCTGGCCTTGGGATTTGGGGGTTGGGATCGTGGGCTGGGGCCAAGAATCTGTGGGTGGGAGTGGAAATGTCCTGCGGGCTTGTTGAGGGGCCTTGGAGGGCGGTCCTGGATGGATGGACACAGTTCCTGGTGTTGATTATCCACAGCTATCCCGGGAATCTCTCTGCAGGCACCGCTCGGGGGCTTGGGGTTTTGGGAATTCCTTGATTTGGGAGTTCCTGGTGGCTCTGCTTCTTTGAATGCGGGGTATTGGGGTTTTGGGAGTTCCTTGATTTGTGGCTCTGCCCCTTTTGACTTGGGGTTTTGAAGTTTTGGGAATTCCTTGATTTGGGAGTTCCTTGACTTGCTGCTCTGCCCCTTCCAACTTGGGATCTTGAGGTTTTGGAAACTCCTTGATTTGGGAGTTCCTTGTGGCTCTGCTCCTTCCAAACTTGGGGTCTTGACATTTTGGGAGTTCCTTGATTTGGGAGTTCCTTGAGTTGTGGTTCTGTCTCTTCCAACTTGGGATTTTGGGAGTTCCTTGATTTGGGAATCCCTTGATTTTTGGCTCAGCCCCTTCCAACTTAGGGTATTGAAGTTTTGGGAATTCCTTGATTTGGGAGTTCCTTGATTTGTGGTTCTGCCCCTTCCAGACTTGGGGTTTGGGAAGTTCCTTGATTTGGGAACTCCTGGATTTGTGTCTCTGCCCTTTCCACCCCGGGGTTGTTCCTCCAGCCCCTCCCCCCGGTTGGTTTTTGCAGCGTCTCCTGCAGATCCCAAGCCCAGCCAGCCCGTCCAGGACCTGAGGGTCACTGCCACTGCTGGGAACACTTTGGAGCTCTCCTGGA